CCCGGCCGACTCGGGTGCTCCCGGTACTGACAGCCTCCTGGCACCCGAACTGCCCCGCCGTGCCCGCAGTCCATAGATGCTCCCCCCATCAGGGGCAAGGTTCCCATTCTGGGCTTTTTTTTTTTTTTTTTCCCCCTCCTCTCCCCCCCCAAAAAAAAAAAAAAATTTACTGCATTGCCTGGCTCAAATAAAACCAGTGCAGCTGGAGGTAAAGGTGCTAGAAGTTGGGCTTTACTTTCCTATAGTCCTGGGTTTCGGTTGGGATTTTGTTGTCTCCTGCCCGCTGCTGAAGTGCTGGATAGCTACTCCTGCCTGAACGGCTTCTTTCTGTTTTCTTGTCTTTTGCTAAGGAGATGATAGAAAGTGATATCCCGTCCATAATGTCAGGAATCATTAGGAATTCAGGGCAAAATCACCACCCTTCACAGGAGTACAGGTGAGGCATTTATCGATTTCAAAAATATGCACTGCACTGATGTTGTTTTCTCATTATTTCCTAAAAAAAATCCCTTAGCATATAGAAATCCTCTCGTTACCAAAAAAAAAAAAAAAGTTAACTGCATTATTTCTCCTCTCTAAATTAGATTTCTAAGCTGGTGACCGGTTACAATGCATTACTTAGTTAGAAGCATTCCTGTTTAAATTATTTTGATACTAAACTATGTTTGATAAATACACTTTCAAAGCCTTGGGCTGACCTTCTAGCAAACTCTCTCTACTGTGTGAGTGTTGCCAGAGAAGGATATTCTTGTTAAGTAATAATTATTTGAAAGGTCCCTTTCAGATCACAGTTTGCATTGTTATGAAGCAGTCATGGAGAGACTAAATCAAGTGCAATAGATGCTAGAAGAGCTTTTCATTAAATCAAGTACTTATGTAGTACTCCAAAGCACTGACTTCTGTCAAAGATCTTCTAATATCAGTGGGAACAAACCTGGATTTGTCAACAGCCTTTGATAATTTACCTATACCACTAATGATCAATTTATAATTTAAAAGTATTGTTAGAAGTCACAGGATAGTTCTGCATAAATTACAGTACACTGGGTTAAGTTAGGTTACATCTTGTCACATGATGCAAAGTTCCAAGAAATACAGAATAACAGAACATGACCCAGTTCTCACAGTAAAAAAAAAAATATATTTCCTTGTTTTAAAATGAGGAGTGAGAGGCTGTTGCCTTCCTTACAGTCTGAGGGTGTTTTCACCCATTTCTATGGGTAAAAGTGGTCAGCCGCAGGTATTCTTCTATCAGCCTCTCTATTCAAAATGCAAACACTGCACTGCAGCCTCTTGCAGCTCAACAAGTGATTTGTTATACTCTCTGAAGCCACTGTGGAAAAAGGTTTGTGGAACTCTGTTTTGCTGTTTATTAAAGCACTCTTTGCTCTAGGCATTTTTGTTGGCTATGTAAATATTTGTAAAGAAATTATTCTGTATTTAATGAAGGATGTGTATGAGAGAGACTTCTGGGTACTTATATTTAAGTCTGACTCTTCAGTGCCCCGAAGAACATACCACCTTAACAAAGACCCTTTTTATGGAGAGAACTATTCTTCAACTCATAGCTGCAGAAAAACACTCTTTTTTGAGAAAGATAGGATTTATCTTACTGCCAGTAAAGGAATTGTAAGAGTTTCTTCTTTTATTCAGAAGTCAGCTGCTTTTTAAAACTACTTTTAATTCTCTGTTAAACATTTTGAACTCAAAGATCCCAGTTCTCTGAAATTTTTAAACCACTTGTGGTTTCTTTAATGCGGCTTTAAAATGAATTATTTGACCTCATTTAATAGTGTCAAATTCTGATAAAAATGCATAAAATCTGAACTGCACCATAAATGCAGAGCAGTATTTGTCCTACTTCATGAGAAAACACTTTGGATTATGTAAAAGAAAATCTTTTAGACTGAATGATTTTAAGAAAAGAATAGACCTGTCAAATTCTATCAGCTCTGTTTACTCTCCTGCTGTCACCACAGTCCAAGACTGGAACCCACAGTCCCGAGATCTCCATGGGGGAGCATCAAGGCTCCACAAAATGGGGAATGGCCTCCAATTAGTGAGTGGGAGGCTGGGGCTGTGCTGAGAATACTCTTCTGTCTCACTTGGAATCTTTCAATGGGACAGTTGGACTTGGAGGAGACCAGGCTTTCCTGCCAGTGTGCCGGAGGAAACACTGAAAAGGGAGGGAGTGCATGGGTGTGTAAGCAGGGCATCAAATCAGCAAATACCGATAAGTTTTCATGCAGCTTATGCTTACAGTTTGAAACGATGGGATTTTTTCTCTTTTTTTTTTTTTAAATGGATGAGGAAAAAAAAATCCCTGATTTTAGCAGATCTTTGATTTCTGTGGATCCAAAGCATCTATAGAAAATTTGATGTAGCACATAGAGCAGTGATGAGGATTAGAATGCTATGCAAAGTCCAGGGACTATTTGCACCATAGTAAAATGATTTGAGACAAACATCTCCTACCAATGCAGCTGTGGGATATAAAACATGCGACTGTCCAGGAGTGATTAAAGGCCATCATATTGTCTCCAATGCCTATGTTTTTATGGTGCTGTCACTGCCTGGCTACCAATGCAAAGTAATACTTCATATTAGCAGGTGCCTCTCACTCTCCCAAAGAAAAAACCCACTACCTTCAATTTTTTTGTAATTGTAGTAGTGACAAATAGTTCTAATGATTTCATTTTACATTTCACAGAATAAAAGTAGGGAATTGTAACACACTGGGATTTTTTAACCCTTAACACTTTCTTCTTGTTAATTATAGTTAATAATCTAACATTATGTTTTAGTGTAAATATTCTGATGTTTAAATCAAAGCAATAGGCAGACTACAAGTTTACTATGCAGTGGCACGCTTGTGGTTATTTCAGCACAAAGCTATGTAAATTATAGGAGCCAACTCAAAGGCTACTAAATTAGTGGAGAGCTCCCATGGTCTTTAGTGGGCTTGGAGCTGGTCTCTGAGAAACAAGGTTCATCAGCTCATGAATGCTGTGGTCTTCAAGCAATATTTTTAATCAAAATCTGCAATCTATCCTTTTGCAGTCTAATTTGATTTAACATACATAACCAGTGCAAGAGAGGTAAAAGATCTACTGTGATGTATGCAAATGCAGAATGAGAATTAATATGCAGAGCTTGAGCAACAGAAGCCCCCCAGGGAGGCAGATGCGAGGTCAAGGTGGGCCTGGACTAAGACTGCAAAAACACTTACAACCTGTAAGTTCTCTCCCAAAGCAGGCTCAATATTACCCTAATTCAGCGTTCTTGGTTTTCAAATGCAGCAGCATGCTTATTTTTCTCAGTGACTATCCAATTCCCAAACTAGTACAGTTATGTGTGGTTTATTACATATCATATAATAAATTATGACATGAAAAACATGACATTAGAAGGGAGGCAAAGAGTTTGGAATATGTGAATATCCAAATTTAAGGAATCAAATCATCACTCTAGGTAACAATGTGGCATCTATATTTTGAAAGAAATAACTAAAATGTATAATTCTAGTTGAAGAAATAACATTACTTAAGATGTAAAGCTAACCCTAGATCAACAAAATAAATTAACTTCATGTTTTGCAGCTCAATATTTATGTAGTATTTTGAAGGCCTTGCAATGCATTTTCTATACTTGTTTAACAGGATTTCAGTTTTAAATAGATATCTTTTTGATCAAAAGTAGCTACTCAATTGTTAATCATTCAACATATTAGTAGAGTATATCCTCCTTCACCCCATTTTAATTGTCCCTTTGGTTCTTAAAAAATTGGTCTATATTCATTAGCTCATTAGATAGTCTGATTAAATTTTGGTTGTAATAATTACTTTATGATAGCATAGTTTGGCATAAAATCGTATTAAGAAGCATAGACACATAAACACACAACCATTGTATTCCATACATTCCAGACATGACTGCATTACAGTGGTGAAAAAGGTGAAAAGTCTTTATGACACACAGTACATTTTAGCTCTCCTAAGTGGTAGTGTCATATCTGGTTTTGCACTTTGGTTTCTGGAGAGCAAGCTACAGCTCAGGACTCCTGACTGTCACCACTGGGGATGGATGGAGTCTGGGAGTTTGCATGAAGGAAATTTCTGCAGACAAAAGGTTACAAATGCATAACTAACGAAACCGTAATTGTTCTTGAAGAAAATGTCAGTGTCCATTCCCTTGACACCATGTGTGTCTGACAGGGAGTGAGATAATGACTCGATGTGTCGGAGGAATTTCATCACAGTAGTTGCTTCATTCTTTCAAAAAAATGTGAGAAACCTCCTAGGAATCAGTCAAACTCAGGCCACTGTGGATTGATTTAAGTGGATTAGCTCAACTGTTTCCTGTGCAGTTCCTGAAATGTGCTAATCGGTATTAATAAAAAATTGTGGCCCTTGCTCCTCAAATTGTCATGCAGTTACAGGCAGAGATGGGAAGGACTGATTTGTACCCAGGCACTATCTTGCAGGCTTCTCAGGCTCGTCTGCCTCCAGTGAAACCAGAACAGAGTTCATATCTTACCTCATAAACAGTGCTTGACCCCCCCATTCAAAACAAGAACAGAAAAGGAATTTGGACTTTTTCTGTGAGATCTCAGATGCTCATGGCACACCGCTCTTTATTTTACCCATTTTAAAAATCTCATACGTGCAGAAAGCAGAATCGCTGCATGACTGCAGCAGCAAATAATGCAGTTGAGACGGGTTCTTACAACAGTGCAAAACAAAGGGTAGTATATTTTATATTCCCTTTACACTGGAGTAAATAACTACACAAGATCCCAGGCAGATAGATCAGTTCAGTGCTAATAAACAGCAGCTGAAGCAATATTAAAGGAAAAAATAGCTTCCCAGATAGACAATGCTCCTTGTTTTAATAGAAAACATTCCTGTAGTGCCTGGTACTTCAACATATTTTTGCATCAAGGAGAAGCTTATTTTAACATTAGTCACAGGTTTGCATTTTGTTTTTATGTTTTTTTAACAAAACAGATTGCTGAGTCAGATACCAGCTGCATTTGGCAAATCTGAACCTAGGGATGGTTATGTGGGTAAAGCACAGCAGGGAGCAAGTGGCTGGGAGTTCAGTGCTGATATTGTGCTAACTTCCTCTTAGGCTTAGGCAAATCACGTAGGTCGCTTGTAATTCAGTTTCTCTTCATCCCATACTGAAATGATGTAATGAGGGGTTGTGAAACTTGGAGCTGAAATGTATAAAAGTCTCCAGGAGCGCATCTATAGCCTGTTCTGTTAGCACTAAGTACCTTTGCAGAAGGTTTTTGGAGAATCCTCTTCTGAACCATGGTGTAAGAAAAGGAGAACAGCAACACCTGACAGGGTAATCATGTTATTTGCTTTTTCCTCATTAGTTTTTGTTCCTATAATCCAAGGTTTCTTGAGCTGTAGCTGAGGAGGAACTTTC